ATAGGGTGACACACAAACACATGAACAAATACACAGAACACACAAATAAACATCTTTACCAAATGAAGAATTCACTCTACTATAATTCCTGAAAAAATGAAATTGTAGTAACTCTATTACAATTTTTAGTCATGTATCATTTTAAGTAGAGTAATAAGAATTTGTCAATTAGCAGAGATCGCTTTGCAGAAAAGAATTGGAATAAAATCTTTTTTCTATAATTTTTTACATATTATTTATATTTTCTGCCTTAGCACTAGTAAAATTTAGCTCAGTTATGTTTATATATTTTATCGCTCTCACCTTACATATATATTTTATCACCTTTTATATATTTTATAGACCTTTCATTTCCATTTGTTCAGTTCCTTCAATAGGCTCCAGTTTAGATCTAACCTCATCACTGTTAACTTCTCCAGATCTAGTTTCATGGTACAGCCTGACAGCACACTCTTTATGTACGTAAGCCACAAAGCATTCTCCAGAAAAACTCAAGCATACCCTTTTCTTCGTATTAGTAGTGGACATTGTCCCATTCGTTATCCAGTAAGGATATCTCTCCAAAAGACTGTTCCTAGCATTTTTCCTCTTTTATTTCTGGTGCTGCACTTCCATCTTTTGTAAAAAAATTTTTAAATAATAGTATATATTGACAAACAAAGTTGGATGATTTAATATTTCCTTTTGCTTCTGTAATTGAATGTTGATCATACAGTGAGCATTTTTGACTTTGTGGGTTATAAGTAATCCCTATGATAAGGGACTATGAAAAATTTTTCAAAATTTCTGGAAGACAGCACCTGTACAGTGTCTAAGTTTGTGCTTCCTGGTATGGAATGAAAGAGATATGAGACCCTGTTTAGGTTTATTATGGACTTGTCCAAAGGAAATTCTTGATACCCCATATCATTTATCTGTAGGCCACAAGGAAAAGAACTCAAACATGAATTTCTCTGCTGCTATAACATTTGTCTATTTTTGTCAAACCTGGATCAGCACACATTTGACCAATGTTTTCCTCTTTGCATTTTGGGCAAAACACTTGTAGTATAGTTGCATTTTTACTTTCATTTTTTTTCTTTCTTTTTCAACAATCCTTTCTCCTAGGCATTATGATTTTTTAAAATAATTTTATTGAGAAACAAACAGCAATGAGACAGTTTCAAAACTGATTGGTAGGACAGTTTCAATAATTAACACATTGCATATTGTTGTCTTAGTGGTTGTTCATTGTACAAGATGTAGACATGATATCCTGTCCACAAACACCGTTAGAACAAATCTATTCACTGAATTAAGAGAAAGTAGATGTATATATCTATCCTAACTAATTTGAATACAAAATGGTTGTTCATTTATATCCCATTTTTTGGTTCAGTGTTGTCAGAGAAGGGTAGTCCTTTGTCATTTAAATATTGTACTTGTGTGAATTCAGCAAAATATTCAAATATAGTCCAGTAGTCCATAATACTAGTGGGTTTTCCATAGGACTGGCAATGTCACAGGTTGTTGACATGAGCCTTTTACAGTTCAACATATAGATATGGTATTACTTTTTATACTTCATTTTTATACTTTTCTGCTGGACAGTTAAAACTAAGATAAAGCAAGACCTATATAACAAGAAATGTAACTTTTATATCTGAAAAAGGCAGTAAAATTCCCTCAGGATTTATCCTGAAACCCTATGCTGCAGTTTGTAGATCCTTTGTCAGTGTCAGCAATGTGGATGAGTCACTGCCATTAAGATTTCTAAATCCAAACTTATTGTTCTCTTCTGCAGACACAACATCTCAGAGTAACAATGCAGGGGCTCAAAGGGTATCATACCACATAGAGACCATACACTGAAAGGGATTGTTTTCCCTTGACAATGAGCTCAGCCTAGAATTCTTATAAGTTCTTTTCAAACTTTTAAGTGTAGAACAGTCTGCCCCTTAGGTGGAAGCTAATAACTATGTCTCCCTATAAGAGAAAATAGATCCTCAAAACTCTTTGGTTTCACTTTTTCTACCATTCCTTTTAGCAATGTCCAAATAAGATGGACATATTCATCTTCTGTCAATGAGCATTTCCCTCACAACCTTGAGCTTTTTTACTGCTCTCAACTACTCTCAAACACAGGGTACCGCAGCAGTACTGTCCATCACTAACTGACCATGGGTCCTCTTGCAGATTGTATGTTGAAGACCACTTGTTGTATGATTTTATTTTTTCCATAATTTTATTGAGAAACAAATAGCAATGAGACAGTTTCAAATCAAATTGGTAAGAGAGTTCCAATAATTAACACATTGCATACTGTATTGCTAGTGGTTGTTTGTTGTAAAAGATGCAGACATGATATCCTACTTACAAAC